ATCTCAGAATTTTCAGCACATCTCATGTTCACAGCAATTTTAATTTAATACAGTATTCCTGCCTCGCTAACTACACAAGTAATAACATTTGTTTTGTGACAACACTGATGTTTATTTATGTACTTACAACATACCAAAAAACAAAGACATGGGCGTAAAATAACAACTTTGATTACAAGCGGGTGGGAACCAGAAAGCAGTACGGGTGACTCTCGTAGTAACGAAGAAAAGGGTCAACAATAACACAGCTAGTGTCCATATCTGTAAAAACAAAGAAAGCAAGTTCCGTCAATACAGCTGTTCATTTCAAGAAAATATTCACAAGTGTTACAATAATCCACAGACACACATTTACACTTGAATTTCCAAGTACTCACTTCTGAAACTCCCACTCCCTGTTGTCTAGAGGGCACACCTGTCGGGTTTTCAGCCAGCGAGAAATACAGTGGAAATGGAAGGCGTGCTGGGGGCAAGATAAACAAACAGGGTAGAAAGATGCACAAAATACAAATAGGTCAGGGCAACAGTTCAATGTAACTTAACATTCTTTAAAAGAACCAATTTACCAAAAACATAACACAAGTTTACATAATTTGTTGATGATTCACTTTGTTACTTCTACTGTAAAAGGTTTGTTTACATCAGTAATGTTATAATACAGGAGATAAACTGGCCTATATTTAGTGTGATTGCTGTGAGCAGTAAAATCGTTCTCTCGCAAAACGTTTTCTTCTTCCAGGACTTTTGTTGCTCATCTGTTACTCAAAGTCTGCTTATACACGTATCTCTTTACGCAGCTTCATGCATTTAATGAGAGAGAGATTTATATAAATTGGGACATTTACTGACATATTCCTGAAAGGGTACATTTCTCCTGCCACCAAAATGGTGCATAAATCTTTGTAAAACAGTGTTGACTTTTCTTGTTCATAATGTGTGCTCAGACAGAAATTAAACTCAATCTTCACCTTGCATCACTTGCATTCATTTCAGTGCCAGTGTATATTTATATCCCTAACAGCCAATGTGTGAACTATGCAGATGTTAGCTGTAAGCTAGCTCTCAACAGATGCACTAGCCATGTGTGTGTGGGGGAGTGTTTTAGTTCGTTTATGCTCAGCTGAGCCTCTGACTGAACTAACCAGTTCATGTTATTTACCTCCAGCCCCTCTCCTTTTCCCCTCGTCTCTAGTCTGTACAGCAGATTCATAAAATCCAGGCACACGAGCTTATTTTCAACTCTTGGGGAGGCATCTTCGCATTAATTCAAGCCACCCCAGGTTTGTCTAATCTTCCCATTGACTCCCACCACTACTAAACTCGCTTTGCGTTCTGTCTGAACACAGCATTTTAACATCAACACTGAAAGTGGGATACACAGCAGACCTTGTGAAACGTTGAGATTGGGAACTATTTTGCACTATTTTTTAGATGACGTAGACATTTTTGACTTGATCAGTGACATGTTAGAGGCGGTTGTAGACACTCACATTGCAGACACCCCAGGCTACAGTGCACTCCTCAGAGGTAGCCGAAGCTTGGTTGGCCTGGCACTCTATACCTGATGAGGAAGGGAGAAATGTATCAATGCTATTTCACAAAACATGTCTGATGAAAGTCATTTAGAGGCTTACAACATGTAAAAGCTCAATCTGTGCCCTTTCACAGACGCTGCCCTTGACCAAGTCATTTATCATTCATAGTCAAAATATGTATCAAAGTAGTGAGTCCAAAACTGTGAAAGTGAACTCACAGAGATCCATGATGTGGTTCCGACAGATAGCACAGTTGTCCACCACGATGTCCCAGGCCCACAGCGCCACAGCGTTCCACTGGTGGGAAATCAGAATCATCAAACATCATCCAACCGGCACATTCACCGCAGGTTGTCTCGTCGACATTGATGTTTAATGACAGTTTTACTTAATCAGAACTTCACAGAACATTTTCATATTTTAGATTCCAAAAACATTTTAACCTTCTCCCTTTCATTTGAGCAGCACAGCATACGATGTGTGATGACCTGATGGACAGCTTTATAGATTAATGCCAATACCAAAATAATATAGATAAGAGATTTTAACTTTTTTTTAAAGGTGGTTCTTGTAGATTTAGAAAACCAAAGTTTTAGCTGTTAAAATACCTGACACAAAACTGAATTGTGTTTGTATTAAAGTTTACAGTTTGGAGTGTCATTCTGTCAGTAGACAGAAAAGGCAACGCTTCACCTCCCTGCTCCTTTCCCACTTCCAAGTCTAAAAAAAAAAAAAAAAAACACTCAAGAATTTGAATCTCTGATATAGACAACAAAATATCCACACAAGTAGTATGGATTTAACAATAAAGCCGGTAAAGGCATTTATTGTCCTTTAGGATATTAAAGGACAATAACCACCCAGCCACAGCATGTTCACCCTGCTGCCTTCTGGGAAGAGAGAAGTTTCAGCTGCTGCACGACCAGACTGCAGAACAGCCTTTCCTCCAAGCTATTAGACTCTATTGGGTTTAGGTCTGGAGACTGGCTAGGCCACGCCAGAACCTTGATATGCTTCTTACAGAGCCACTCCTTGGTTATCCTGGCTGTGTGCTTCGGGTCATTGTCATGTTGGAAGACCCGGCCTCGACCCATCTTCAATGCTCTAACTGAGGGAAGGAGGTTGTTCCCCAAAATCTCGCAATACATGGCCCCGGTCATCCTCTCCTTAATACAGTGCAGTCGCCCTGTCCCATGTGCAGAAAAACACCCCCAAAGCATGATGCCATGGACCATGACGTCTTAGTGTATTACCAACAGTAACCTTGGAAACGGTGGTCCCAGCTCTTTTCAGGTCATTGACCAGCTCCTCCCGTGTAGTTCTGGGCTGATTTCTCACCTTTCTTAGGATCATTGAGACCCCACGAGGCGAGATCTTGCATGGAGCCCCAGTACGAGGGAGATTGACAGTCATGTTTAGCTTCTTCCATTTTCTAATGATTGCTCCAACAGTGGACCTTTTTTCACCAAGCTGCTTGGCAATTTCCCCGTAGCCCTTTCCAGCCTTGTGGAGGTGTACAATTTTGTCTCTAGTGTCTTTGGACAGCTCTTTGGTCTTGGCCATGTTAGTAGTTGGATTCTTACTGATTGTTTGGGGTGGACAGGTGTCTTTATGCAGCTAACGACCTCAAACAGGTGCATCTAATTTAGGATAATAAATGGAGTGGAGGACATTTTGAAGGCAGACTAACAGGTCTTTCAGAGTCAGAATTCTAGCTGATAGACAGGTGTTCAAATACTTATTTGCAGCTGTATCATACAAATAAATAGTTAAAAAATCATCACATTGTGATTTCTGGATTTTTTTTAGATTATGTCTCTCACAGTGGACATGCACCTACGATGACAATTTCAGACCCCTCCATGATTTCTAAGTGGGAGAACTTGCAAAATAGCAGGGTGTTCAAATACTTATTTTCCTCACTGTATATTGTCTGCTAGATTGTGACAAATAAATGTACCTAACGTTACCTACTGATTGCACTTGTCAAAAGGATTTTGAATTCAGATAGTTTTAAATCATGTTGCTTTAAATTTACTATATCGTTCACAGCGAGAAGATGCTAAATGTTTCAAAATTTTACTCAATACTGGTAACTGTTCACATTGTGGTCATCTGATAAACTGATTATTATGTTATGTTGACATTTCATAACCTTAATGTAGAACAGTTGACGTGAACTGACGACGCTTAAATGTGGGGATGTCAAAATTAATCAGTTGGTAGCGGTTAGTTAGACAGAAAGCCCAAAGTTCAATCATATTCTATTTTAGGTTGACCATATAGCCTGTTATTACATTTGGAGTGGATCATAAATTCCTTGTTTTAAGTTCAGGTTTCGTCTCTAACGACGCCGGGAAATGCGGTTTAGCTAAGCTAACTTAGCTAGCAGAGTTAACAGCTTTGTTGTTTAACGTTAACTACTTATGGTTTAATGTTAATATGACGATGGATTTGGTGATTATCCCGTAGCGAGGGTTGATGATCTCCGTCATATCACTATAGGTTTGTGTCTTTGTAATTATAACTAGCTAGTCCCCAAAGAGAAGTGCAAATTCATGCTCTCTTTGGGGGAGGCTAAGTAGCTAATGTGCTATCGCTAGGCTACATTGAGTTAACGGCAGGGAGCGTAGCTTGTTAGCGGACATTTGGGGCTGTTGACAGATTATGCAAATAATTTACACGACGAAAACGAATTACTTCATGCACCCATACCTTCTTTACTTCAAATCGCTTCTTGCTGGCTCCACTGTTTGTGCCACTTGGCGTATCTACATCCATAGCTGCTGCCATCTTGAAAAGAGAAGTTTGGCTTGACGAGGAAGTTACCCGGAAGAAACACAGCAGTTTCCGTCTGTGTAACTTACTTAACGTTACTACCGTTAACGTGTAAATCCGGTATTGTAGTCGTTTGTGTTATATGCTAATTCTGAAGAGGAGTTTATTATGATATGTTGTTTATAAGAAGTGCAACTTTTGTCGGCAACATAATGTGAGGTGTGAGTCAATAAGAAAAAAAAGATAGGTTCCACCGAGATTTGAACTCGGATCGCTGGATTCAGAGTCCAGAGTGCTAACCATTACACCATGGAACCACTAATAATATGAGCGTAATATATGGACTATATTTATAAACTTGGTACACTTGCATAAGTGGATAATGCTGATTTTGTAAGCATCGACGTCACATTTTAACATGTAATTTGATATATGCATTTGTCATATATCAACATAGACTGTATTATTTTATTTCAATGTAGCACTCATTTTCACATTAAGCAGCTGAACGAGTCAGTGAGCATATTAATAAATATTAATTAATTTACAATCCATTGCTCATTGTAGTTGTTTTGAGGTGGCCTTGGTTATACTCTATATCTGTCAAACTAATCATATCACTATAACACATGTCCTGCAGGACTGGGAATGGAATAGGATGGGTACTCAATTAGCTTCAATCTTTTATTTTATGTTCTTTCCTCTTTTTATTTTGCTGTTATGCTCAGATAGCAAAGAGTGCATGTAAATTCCACACAGAGAGTCTTAAGCACTTTATTACCACTTCACACTCAGCTGTCAGACTGCAACAGCACACCCATTAATATGATGTCTGGACTGACTGTTGTTCTATTCAGTTAGACAGTGCCTTCTTTTTCTTTGTCACTTTATGGGCTTTTGTCCCATTCTTGGTTGGTTTGGGTAGTTTAGTTTTGGGCTTTGCAGGCCTAGCTTTGTCCACAGGGGCCTTCAAGAAGCTGGGCTTGGGTTTCTTCACTGTTGGAGGTCTGGTAGCCACAACAGCCTTCTCATCTGGAGGAGAGCCACTTTCTGGGCAGGAGGTAAAGACATGGACGTCCCTGACCTTCTGACCTTTGATCTCAGGAGGGTGACCACAGGTGGCGATTACCTCCACACTTACATTCTCCATCCACCTGACAGATAGAGACAGAGCAATCCATCAAATAACTATTATGAATAATGTAGCTCTTAATAACAGTTCATCATCTAGGTGAATGCATTACTGTGCTTCTTTGTATTCTGCAGCAACCATAGACTGTACATAAAAAGGTAGCAACATTGTTTTCCTCTTTCCTGTGACTAAGCTTAACTATTTTTAGGAATTGAATGTGTTCAGCAGCAGTGATGCAAGTAGACTACCAACTGTGCCAAGATGCTGCCATAAGAAGAAAAAGCTCACTTATAGATTATATATAAATTAAGCATATTTACTAATTATACTAAAAATGTATTTGCTAGTTATTCCCACAACAGTAATGTCTGGTCAATGCTCTATTCAAAATAATTTGCTAAACCCTTATTCCAGGGAAACTGTGCACTGACTTGCGTAGCGGCAGCAGAGGGCAGTCACAGAGCAGGGGGTTGTCCTGCAGATCGACCACCTCCAGGCTGGTGAGTGGGCTCAGGTCAGGAAGCTCCTCCAGCTGGTTTCCTCTCACAGTCAGAGTCCTCAGCCTTGGGCCCAGCCCTGCCAGAGCGTCCCTGGACATCTGGATGGTGGTAAAATATAAAGAGCTGATCAGCAAAGTTCTGTTAGCATGGATAGCCTAAATGTGATGAACAATCTTAATCAAATACTTAATTTCACATATATACACATCTAGGCTAAATATTCAAAGCCTTATGTTGTGTTTTTCCTTGTTGGAATCAAATGCTGCACTGCTACCATGCAGAGAAATGACTGATATTGGTCTCTTTTCACTTACTCCTCACCCCATGTTATTTTTATTTTGTGTTCTATGTAGAGACAAGTTATAGTAGTCAATGGGAGAGCCAGGTGTTAAATCAGACATGATGGTTACATTAAAGCAGCAACCAGTGTTAAAGTGCCATAACAAGGACTTATCCTGGTGAGCCCCTGACTTTTCCTGGAGCGCCACCATGAGGTTCACAATTTTGTTTTTTGGTGACATGTCTTGATAGTTATTGGATGCAGCTGCAATACATTTGGTAGATACCCATGGTGCCCACAGGATGAATTGTAATCACTTTGGTGATCCTTTGATGTTTTTTCCAGAGCCATAAAATGTTTCCATTTGTCCAATACTAATTAACCAATGTTAGCATGATGCTAAGATTGTCACTGTTAGCATTTTCCCATATTGTTAGCATTTAGTTAAGAGCACCACTCTGCTTGAGTGCAGCTGTGAGTGAGCTGCTAGCGTAGCTGCAGACTCTTAGTCTTTTTTGCACAAGATGTTATAACTCAGTAACTAAAATCACTTTTAAAAATATGCCTTAAAGGTGATTTCTGAATGTTTTTTGTTCTACTGAAAGATTGTTAAGGCTTAAAGAGTGTATGATGCACGCGCTTATTAATCTCAGAGACTTGGAATCCCACTTGCTTCCCACCCTTTAATCTTCATCCTCATCCATCCTTATTTTGATTTTCTGGCTCCAACAACTCACAAAATGGCAATAAGTATAAACATGATAGATAAAAAACAAGTACAGTTTATTGAGAAACTGAGAGGTAGTGGGAGGAAGAACACAGGACTCGTACCTTCTCTATGCCCATCTGATCCATGTAAAGTCTCTTCAGACTTTGGGATATGGGCTGGAATGCATTGGGTCCCACCCAGCGAATTGAATTCTGAGACAGACTGAGCTCCTCCAGGTTAGGGGTCTCGGACAAAGCGCTGGTAGGCATCTCTGTCAGCTGATTTGAATCCAGGTGAAGTGTACCCAGGAAAGCTGAGTCAAGAACACCCTTGGCAATAGAAGTTATGGTGTTATTGGTCAAGTAAAGTTCCCTAAGTTTAGGGGTTACTGAGGACAGCAACCCAGTAGGCTCCAGTTTGGAGATGGCATTTCGCTCCAGGTGTAACACAAACAGACCCGGTAAGAGTGCCAGAGCTACAGGAAACACACAAAGAGACAGAAAATATCCTTGATTTAGTTGCCTCTGTTTTTTACATCCTGTATGTGCTGTGTTAATTATTGACTTGACATGACTAACGACTGACCTGATTCTGGGAACTGTCCCAGCCGGTTGCCCTCCAGGTGAAGGTAGGTGAGCTCAGGGGCTCCAGAAAAGGCACCGGGGTCCAAGGATGTGAGGTCATTGTCAGAAAGATACAAATATAACAGGTTTTTCATTCCTCGAAAGGCACCTCCTTCGATTTCGTGGATTTTGCAGAACTCCAGGTGAAGAGAAACAAGCTGGCTTGTGCCTGGGAAGCTGTTGGCCGGAAGGTAGTGGAAGTGGTTACTGCGGAGGTCAAGCAGCTGCGTCATGGTGGAGAAGCCTCGTGGGACTTTTGTGTGACCCCGACTCTCACAGGTGGCATGCTGAGCTTCAATCTGGGGAGGGTCAAGGGAATATTATAAACGATACGTAACAAGCTGTGAACACAACTTTGAAATGGTACCAAGTTTTAAGTTGATATGGTGAAATTGCCTATTAGGATGCAACATTACTGACTAAGTCCAATATTCACTCTCCTTTTAGCTGTTTTTGGTCTCCACCATCTCCTGAGGGAAATAGCTGACTCTTTAAGGTGAAGTAGAAGATTCTGGAGTACTTCAACACCACATCAAATACCATGATATAGATCGAACACTGACACAGCAAGTAATGTAACGTTAAGTAACATTAGCTAGGTTGTGGGTTAGAAAACTTTCACTACAGTTGCTGCTGCGAAGCTAAAATGCAGAGAGGTCCCAGAGCCGGAATTATTTATAATCACACACCCATCCTTTAAATATTCCACTGTTTTCACCAACTAGTAAATTAAAAGTGGGTTTTTAGAGCTTTATTTTTTTTCTGAAAACAGCTGCCTGCTCCAACAGAAAACATTGCAATGAAACAGATGAGATATTATCAATATTAAAGTAACATCATGTAGTATTTTTTTCTTAAAATAACAGTTACTAAAATTTTGAGCGTAAACTGACTTTGTAAAAAGAATGGTGTCTCTGTCATGCCACTCCAGACCGGGGCTGCTTGGTATATGACACTGGCATCACGGGCAGGAAACCTATCTCGAGAACGACGTAATGCTATATGGCACCATGTGACACAACAAGAAAACTGTTCGGCAAACTAGGTATAAGAAGAAAAAAGTATAAAATGTAATTTCTTTGTAAGAAGCTAGCTTTGTATTCTCAGTACGGATATCATGGCAGAGGCTGCGAAGAGACCGAAGAAGATGTCAGAGGAAGCGAGGAAGAGAAAAAGAGAGAATGACTGAGCAAGAGACTGGACAAGAGTAAATATCTGACTGGCTTTTACTCATTGGTGTGAGCTAAAAGAGCTGAAAGGATGCAAGACAGGTGCCGTGCTGGCCTCCTTGCCGTTGGACTAGTGACTAATAACTTATTAATTGGTTTGCTGTGTCTTTTGTTGTTGCACTTGCTTGATGTTTGCCTATGTCAGCAAAGTTGTCGACTTGCTAGTTTTTGATCATAAGTAATGTAATCATAACAAATGCACGTGTACAGCTGTCCTTATTTACAGCAATGAATTATACTCTGAAACGGTAGGGGCACCAAATAAAAAAACCCACCAAATATTACATAATGTTGCTTTAAAATATTGATTATAGCTGATTTAAATAAAAGTAGCAATGCCACAAAAATACTCATTACACATGCAGAAAGGTAGAAGTATTATCAGCAGCACTATTATATCGGCTTACAGTAAGCATAGATAATCTAGAATGACCACTTTAAAATTATTATAAAAACAATATTATTTGAAAATTGATGTATTAACATGTAATCATTGTAAATGTTTAATACTGTTGGGTAGTTAAATCAATTTCAATGCATCATGTTTTATGGGTTGATCATTTGTTTTATGATAAATCTTAGTCTGAAAAGTAACTAGTAACTATAACTGTCACAAAAAAGTACATTTCCCTCTGAAATGTAGTTCTTTATAAAGCCATTTTTTCTAGAAAGCAGCTTATGTTGGAGGAGGACAAAATCTGCCCCTCAAAAGAGAAATGTAGTTTCTCCACAAAAAATACTCACATCACAGTCACAGTTAACTGGACACTTGACTTTCTGCTTGGGCTTGACTGTGGGTGGGGTGCTTCCTGTGCTCTCATCATCCTTCTCAAACTCATCCTTCGGCCCCTTCCCCCTGCTGCGGCAGCGCAGATTTAGAGGAGCCACAGCCTGTAGCGGCTCCTCTGAGAGATGAGGAGGTCCAGCACAGGCTCCCAGCAGCTTCACACCTCCGACATTTGCCCACTCTCTCAGGGGCCGCATGTAGCAGTTACAGTAGACGGGATTGCCTTTAAAAAATTAATGATTATCAGTATGTATTAAAGATGACACGTAGTATGCTACGTGTGGTGTTGGGGTGTAATGAAAACCTTTAACTCTCTCAGCACTGCATGTCTAAATTTGAGTAAACGACACATGTCAGAACACAGTTGAACCTGTCAGGTTGAGACTGCCCAGTTCCTTGGGGCCTGAAAGGGGCTCCAGGTAACAAAGCTGATTGTGGCTGAGGTCCAAGTGGAGGAGGAGGGGGGCGCCGACCAAAGCCTGATCTGACAGGTCCTGAAGAGACATGTGGTCAAGGTAGAGGTGTGTAAGCTTCGCCATGGAGACAGATTCTTCCCCAAGGTAGGTCATCGGGTTGTGGCTCATGTCCAGGCGCGTGACCTCTCGAAGTCTTTACAGAGAAAAGACGTTTAATGACATGTATGACCTAAGTAAACTTTACTGCTGTTGGGTACTTCATTATGTACAATTTCTGCTGTCGACTCTCAAAGGAGGATCCTCCAAGAGTTTTCAAGTGTGAACCTTCCTCTGTATTTCTTTACCGTATATATGTGTACTAAACCAAAATTTAATTGTATGAATATAAAACAAAAATGTTTTTTATAGTAACAAGGTTACCAAAGCAGGAAAAGCAGGCAACTGTCCTGGGGCCTCAGAACTTCAGGGGCCTTAAAGGCTGCAGGTTCACTGTTCTGAATGCCCCATCTTTTGACCTTTTGTATTCACACTGGCAAATTAATGGCAAATGTATTTGTTGATGTTTATGTGCATCAGTAAATTACAACACAAACTGAAAATGGTACAGCTTACGTCTGTACAGCTGGTATATTGGCCGTTTGGAGCAAATAACTACAGTAACGGTCCAGTGGTCAAAATCACTTCACTTTCTAATGGAATACACCGTTACAGTGCTGTAGTCCGTCTCAGTACTTTCTGACCTCTGTCTGTGGTTTTTAAAGAACGCAGGTTCCTACTGAAGACTTAAGTCTTGAATACATACAACTCAAAATAAACTGCAGTGTTTCTCATTGATGTGTTTTAAAATTTTTTTGGACAACAATGGAGCTGGATGACACAAATAAATAAGATATATCAGGTTTTGGATACACAGACAGTAATTCTCAGGACTATCCTTTAAAGTGACACCTGCATTATTACTTAATCATGAAGCCCCATCTTGTAGAGGGCGGTGCAATATCAGTAGGTAATTTTTTCCCCCTAGTGGTTTAATCTGGCCTTGGACAATATGAGTAACTAGAGGTGAGATTATGGAATGCCCTCTGGTTTCTCTTCTTTTCTGTTTCATCTGTGTCTCCCTTCATCTATCCCCCTGTAGTTAAGCGTCTTAATGAAAGCAAACCATATAAGAAGATATACTTTATTATATATGTATATATGTATATAAATAAAGGATGGCATGTCCACCATCTCTTAACTTATAACAAGACCAAGAGTCTTGCATTTGGTCCTATAGTAACACTGCTGAGAGGTCGTAAAAACTTTTTACTATTACAAATTTTTAATAGCTCAAAGCACTATAATAATCCTACAGATTGTCCCACCTGCTCATGGTCTGAGTGGGGAAGAACTGCAACTCATTGTGGTCCAGGCTTACGCGGGTGAGGGTGAACAGTCCAGTAAACGCCTCAGGGGCCAAGTTGTTCAGGGAGTTATGGCTAAGACGAAGCCACTTGATGTTGTTTAGGCCCTGGAGGAGGAGTCAGAGTGTTGTGGGATCATACTGCCATAATCATTCAGTGTGGAGCGTGTTTGCAATCTAAATATGCAGATAAAAGTCTACACCCATGTGCCTGAGTACCTGGAAGGCCATGTTGGGGATATAAACCAGCTGATTGTGGGTGAGAGCCAGCATGTTGAGGAAACCAAGCTGTGTGAAGGCTCCAGGCTGGATCTCCTCTATACGGTTATGGTCCAGATACAGCTCCTTCAAGGACGAGAGGCCGTCAAAGGACTCCTGCGACAGTCAGGTCAGAGGAAGAAGGTAGAGAGAGGAAGGGAAAGAGAAAATTAGTTAACCTCACATCTTAAAAATGATTCAGGAGCCAAGAAAAACTGTTTTCTTTAAGAGTTCTCAGCTGTGTTACCAAATGCCAACTCAATCTTTTCAGTGTTTCAGTTGTGCCCTTTCTTCTTACCTGGTAAAGGATGTCAATCTTGTTGTAGGCCAGGTTCAGGGAGACCACGCGGCCCAGGCTCCGGAAAGCACCCTCCTTCACCTTCATAATGTTGCAGCGCTGCAGGTTGAGGTGAGTGAGGTAAGGCGTGAGGATGAACACCCCCGTGGACAGCACCTGCAGGTTGTTATTCCTCAGGTCCAGTTTCACTGTAATCTGTGAGAGACAAGACAGAAAGGAGGATGTATCTGAGGCAGAGGTGACACAGAATTAAAGGAGTGTACATTTACCTAATTTCTTTTGGTTGGACAAAGCTTCAAATTTAAGAAACATCTGAAATGCACCCAATAGTCCACAGCTGCCATTCAGTGATCCTTCCTCAAACAGCTGTGTGAAGTGAAAGGGAGGCACTACACTTCACATTTGAATTCCTCACCTCATCTACAGTCGGGGGAACCTCCGTTAACTTCTTGCCAACGCAGGCGACCGTGAGCTTGGAGCTGTCACAGCTGCACACTCGGGGACATTTGCCAGCTTCAACGGGTAAACTCAGTGCTAAAATCAGCAGGAAGACCGTCGCACAGTAGAAACGCATCTGTGCCAGTAAGAGATGGTAGAAATTGATTAGAAAGTCAAAGATGCTGTCAAAACGCTTCACCATACAGTGGATGTTTAAGCAAGCACAGGATTCACCAAAGGTGGGTACTTATAGAACTTAGCAGACCTTTAAAGAAAATGTATAATGAATATATACTACTTGTAATTATTAACTTCTTGAATTTGGCTTTTTCCATTGCAACACATTGGTTATATCTGAACATCATATCTGTTTTCTTAATTTTGTTTTAAAATGTTGGGATAAAAAACATATCTGGAAACATTGTCAAATACTTAATTTACTTCTTGATATCCCAAATCCACAAGTGTTTCGTCTAACCTAAAACCAAACCAGCGAAGAAGAAAGAAAAACTGGCTTACCTTCATGCAGAATGTCACAGTCACAGCTTGGTAATAAGTATTAAAGGCAGATCATATGTGAATCTGCCAGTTCAGGCTTTAGTTATCTACTGGTGTCTTTTATTTCACTCTGAGTGTGTCCAGCACTTACAGTCTGCGGCCCAACTGGTTAACAAACAAGGCTTTGGTAAATTCTTTTGCGACGACCCCTGATCCCTGAGCCCGCTCACTGCAAATTAACACCTTGGCTTTACATTTTCTGAGAGGCTGAAACACAAAGAGCAAGCAGCTGTGTGTGCTGGCCAAACTGATTGCATTCGTTGATATATGCAAAATAGAAGAAGTGATAATTTATATTACTATCCTTGGTTTAGTCAGTTTCTTCCATAATCCATAATGATTTTGGGTGGGAACAGTGGGAAAGCAGTATTTTTGTAGCAATAAAGACTCACATGAGCTGTTGTCTTGATCAGTTTTCATGTACTCATGTTCCTGTGACATTACCTCTTTAAAGTGATCTTTATTTTTTTAATGAAAATTCTACACAGTTAATCTGCAAAGGCTGTGAAAGACATCAAACACTCAATTCAGCTTTATTTTTGTAACAAATCCAAAAACTCTGCCCCTTGCACCTCATTAAAGGCAGATTTACTTATTTCATCCCTTTTGATTGTTCTCTATTGTACTTTACAATTGGATAATATTTTTTCAATCAGTACATATTTGAATAACATCATTGTTTAACCATATTATTGAATTTAATAAACATTTAATATAAAAACAACAGAATATTAAAAAGTTAGATATCAAATAGAAAATGTACAATAGCTGATGCTTCAAGTCCAGATCAATTCTGGTCAGAGCTTTTCTAGTTTTCACCAACGTGTGATCCGTGCTGAGTCAGTCAGGTGTCCATAAAAGGGAGGAAACACACAGATATTGGGTCATGAGGCCTTTTCTTCTTCACCAGAATACAAAGAATGTGAAGACCAAGATGTCAGTGCTGTCCTGTGGTTGTATGAATGTACATGAAGTACTTCAGCTAGTCCACACCATAAAAGCATAGTCTACTTCAAAACATAAAGCATTCGAGTCCAGATAGAGGGGTATTGCTAAACTTGTGAAGGACAGCAGCGACACCACAATGAGTGGAGTATTCTCAAGTGCTGCTCTGCTTCATTTCAAATTTGGGCTCATGTGTGCTGGTTTCCAAAAGGTCCATCAGTGATCAGTCAAAGTTCAGTCTGTGTGTGTATCAGCAGTCCTCAACTCTCAGACCTGACTCCCTGCAGTGTGGACTGAAGGTTGTTTCTGGCATTGCCACATGACTCCAGGGCCTTGTTGTTTCTGTGAAGGATAAAACACACACACACACACACACACACACACACACAGTTAGAGAGTCAAGTCTACACATCTTTAAATGATCAAAATTATATATCAATTAAAATAGTATTTATCTTAAGGGTAAATGGAGATAGTTTCTACTGTTATTGATATATTGTTGGTTTTGGTGTTTCATGGGAATAAGTTGATCCATTTATAAAACTATTGTACTAATGTACTGTTTTACTTTTGATTGAATACCACTAAAAACTAGCCCTGTGTGAGCTGTAGAATCCTTCAGGTTTCTGGGATCCACTATATCCCAGGACCTAAAGCGGGAGCCCAATGCTCAACCTGCCTCCGGATATGCTGATCCACTTCTACACAGCCATCATCCAGTCTGTCCTCTGCTCATCCATCACTGTCTGGTTTGGATCTGCCACCAAAAAGGACAGGAGGAGACTACAACGGACAGTCAGGACTGCAGAAGAAATCATTGGTGCCAACCTGCCCTCAGGACTTACACATTTCCAGAGTCAGGAAACATCACTGTAGATCCATCTCACCCTGGTCACAACCTGTTCTAACTTCTCCCCTCTGGTAGGCCGCCAAAACCAACAGACTTAAAAACAGTTTCTTCCCACAAGCCATCACTCTGATGAACAGCTGACTCTGACTCACCCTCTACTCATGTCAGGAACCATTCCTGTGCAATAACCCAGTAACTCTGCCACCCGTTTACAGGCTACCACTTACTATTTATTCATCATTCTCTATTTCAGAGCTGTTGTATACACTGTGTACCAAATCCACCAACCTCATGTACATAACATCTGCACATAATACTTATTTATTCCAGCATTCACTGCACTCAGCACACTGTGTACATGTATGCTTGAAAGTGCCCCTGTATACCACATTCACCTCCGACACACTGTTATACATATTAACAGTAATAATAATTTTCTCCTGCATCCTTTGTACAGTGCTCATTGTACTACTGTCTCAATCTGTCTGTTTTTGTGTGTGTGTGTGTGTGTGCGCACACACACACACACACACACACACACACACACACACATTTTTCTTCCTCTATACTGTAGCCTGTGTTTGATTTTATTATTAACTTATTGCATAAGTAAGCACATCATGAGCAATGTATAATCCAGAGTCAAATTCCTCGTATGTGTACACCTGGCAATAAAGCTGATTCTGATTCAGATTCAGATTCTAGGGGTGGGAATCCACGATACCATATTATCACAATACGATATTATTGCGATTTTAATCATAATGTGATATATTGCAATTTACTACCTTTTTTCCCCATTTTATTATCATAGTATCAAAAAGTAAAATTCTCATGTAAAATTTATATAATAAAAGATCTCCATGTATCAATACAATATTACCACAGAAAATATTGCGATTGCGATCCCCCCCACTTAAAAACTAGTGTCCAGCTGTTTAAAAAATTGCCAGTAGGAACAAACTGCCCTGGCAGTGAGAGCCACGGACAGGTTAGTGAAAGAACTGAGAGATGGACTAATACATTGTTGTTTTAATTCTTGCAATAACCTTTCTATGCATTAGTTTTCATTGTTAGTGGCAGAGTCCACCATTCCTGCGCTGGACTCAAACTGCCTCACTCTGTCTACTGTTTACTCTCCTAACACTGTATCAGAGCTGTATTAACTTGTCACTGCAAACCAAATGTTTCCCCCTGCTGTTGCACATTAAAAGCATTCAACTGCAGAAATGTTAGTGTGGCTTTTATTGTTAATCACTCACGCAGGAAAAGCAATGCACTTGTCACCAAGGTCAGCAATGACCGCAAAAATGCATCTATAAAACAAGACAACAGAGTAGTCGCGGTGAGCTGTTAAAAGGAGACAGGGGCGGACTGGCCATTGTGGCGTTCGGGAGCAATCCCGGACCGGCCAGGGGTCAAGAGTTTATATTTTTCAGTTTCTGTTTTACTTTATGATCCGCGACCGCACCGGCCTTCCAGTCTGCTGCAGTGAACGCTGTATGTGTGTTTGACTGGGCCAAACCAATACTTTCAATATGGAGGTGGTGTTCGAGCGGCCCCTCCCAACTTGGACCGACGTTCGGTTTTGCTGAAATCTGATTGGGTAAACAGGGCCGATCAAAGAAGTTTATTTTCCATTTGAAGCGAGTTCAATCTCCAAAAGTTTTGTCGGGGCTGAAGTCAGCACAGGGTTGGTTGATAGGCTCAATACAGTAAATGTGGAGAAGACCGCGAAAGAGGGAAACGGAACGTATGATGCCGAAAAAAAACAGAGTTAAGAAGAAAAAATGTTTGCATAAAAGGCAGGTAAATGTGCCAAATTGATTGAGGAATCTCTGTATGTCTTGTATGTATATTTATATATATATATATATATATATATTATATTATATTATTAGCTGTGGAGGTGATGCAAAGGGACAGGGTGATGATGACCCCAGTCATGTTGATGAAGAGGGATAGAAGCAACAGGAGGAGCAGCAGGACGAGGAGGACGACGACAGGGAAGAGAAGCAGCAGAAGGAGAAGGTAAATGGAACCAGACAAAACAGTGAAAGTTTTTTTTTTTGTTTTTTTTTTAGAATGACAGAAGGGATTATTGTAAGTCATATTTATGATTGAGTTTCTTCTTGTGCATATGTAACTGTACAATCAGTAAAAGCAGATGGTCAGCACAGAGGAAGCTGAGCCAGGGAGAGGCCTACTTAGAGACAGAGGAGGGATTTGATTTTTATGCACACACATACACACTGCTGTATTTTACGGGAATGTATTGTAGTTTTTGAGTATATTTAAGTATTTTAGCCCTCTGACTCAGGCTTGCCTGACCTGGTCTTGTTCAGTGCAGAGCCTTGCTTATACAAACTGAAGAGGCAGGTGTCATCCTAAAGTTTCTTGAAGGTCTTCAGCATAATCTGATTTTCTGTATGCAACAAAAACACTAATACATATTAAAATTAGGGTTGAACGATTAATTGCATTTGCGATATTATCGCGATGTGATAAAATGAGATTTTCTAATTGTAAAGGCTGCGTTTAAACTCTGGTCACATGACACCCAAGAGTAAAGCAGTCTGAAGACAAAGCATCAACTTCGCACCTTATTAGTGATGGCAAGTTCGACTCTTGACAGACTCGTTCATTCAAATCTAGTTCATAAAAATGAACTAATCTTTTTTTGAGTCATTTCGTTCATTTGAAGTAGGCTGGTTATTGCGGCGCTGCAGCCCTCTAGTGGGCGATTAAAAAACAGCGCCATTCTCAAACAAGGAAGGCTGCCTGGCTTGCTTTATTTAACAAAGTATAATGCACAAATTCACCTCTTGATTACTGTATATCATTATATAACCCCCCCGGGTCCATAACCAAATTCAAACCATGTAAAAACCACATAAATATGTTGTCAATATGTAATCACCACTACACCGCCTAAATCCTTCCATTTTCACAATCTTTCCTGAGTATACAACCAGACCAGCCATATAAAGGCTTATGTATATAATTACTATCATTATCTCTGAAGTACTCATTCGTCCAGTAGCCTAACGTCCCTATCCATGAGTAAAATATTAATATCAGATTTGCAGTAAATATACTGAAGTAATAAGCTTGATACACTATATGAATAAACACACTCTTATTAAAATTCAACCAATTTAATAATAATCTGGCTCAAGCCACCAAGTTCTTAAAGAACTCCAGCACAGAGAGAGAAACAAAGAAATAAACCCATATAAACGCAGCAGTTTGGCAGGTCTGGACGCAGAATGGGCCACATCAGGTCCGGACTCTGCAGACAGAGAAACACACATGAGCACATCGCTCTCAAACACTGCAGGTTGTTCACCAGTCACAAGCTGTGACACAACAGCACGGCTCTGTTGGTAAATAAAAAAGGAAAAAGTTGTGTTTTAATGTTTTAATGACCCGGTCTGTTTGCTTTGGAGAGGAGACGACCTCTGAGGTAATTCGGTTCCCGGTAGAACCCTGTCAGGGCTCTGAAGTGGAGCAGACCCAGAACAACTCTCATCAGCTGTTGGCTGTAATGTTAAACACCAGCAGGACTAAAGTTACGTTTAGTAACTTAGTACAACATCACTGCGCTGTAATAACATTATGCTTTATAAAAGGTCACAAAATAGATATTAGATATAATGTCAGTCCAGTGACTGTTACCTGACAACCGACCTGCCTCTCACTCTCCGGCGCTGGCAGTCACTCAGAATGAACAAAAGACTGAGGAGGACCCATGTGAGCGGTGAACGAGTCGTTCATTCCTGCTTCACAGTAGGAGCTGTCACGTGACAAATGAACGACTCAAACAGACCCACAGTTGAGAGTCGTGAACTAATCAATTCTGTTTCCTGTGCTGACGGAGCCCATGCTGCTGCCGTGTGACGAGTGAACATAAGAGTCCAAGATCCTTCACGCATGCGTGAAAATGAACGAATCACTCACTGAGACAACCCGTTCCTCCCGAGTCATACACACGATTAGGTCTTATGAACGAAACGTTCTTTGAACGACACAACACTACACCTTACCTGTACCTTGACTTGTTGTTGTACAATGGCCTTACACTTGACAGAAGCCGACAAGACAGAAACTTTATTGTCACACAGGGAATGACAGGAGCGCCGCCACCCGCGGGTAACTTGGTGGTGGGTGAAATCGTCGGGCCATCCGCCGCTCTGACGGACAGGAGAAATGCACAACTGAAAGACACGTGTTGTAAGGTAAGCGCAGTGTGGCGATCGGCGCCAGCGTCACACACAGCCACCAGTCAGCTCAGGAAATATCTTTATATCTATATCTTTAGTTTAAAACTAAACGCACAAGTCCCAAGAGGCCCAGTCTGTCCCAAGGTTACAGCCAGTGCGCTGCTCACCAGCATCGGAGGCTGTGGGTTGCGGGGGGTGGGTTAACTCCGTGCTTATTAAGCTCTTCTATTAAATAAGAGGTGTCACTTGGTTTTATTTTCGTTGGCCTA